TAAAATATATAAAAAATATTCAGTGATGAAAAGCAAGGACCTACAACCAAAAATTACTCTACCCAACAGAGCTATCATTTAGAATTGAAGGAAAGATAAAGAGCTTCCCAAAGGAGGAAGAAAGATGGTGGCATAAGGTATAAACTTGTACTTGCTGCCTCCCACAACCAGACCAAAACTACAACTAAAAGACAGAACAGCTATCATTCAGAACCATGGGAAAGCTGGCTGAGTGGAAGTTCTACACCTAGAAGGAAAGACAAAAGTGCATTGAGACTGGGTAGGAGGTGCAGAGACACCAAGAACGGAGGTACGGAGGTGGGCGAAATGGGCTGGCAAATAGGTGCACTGTTTTTTTCAATTGGAAGGGAGATACAAGCTCCTGACTGCTCTGAACTTCAGTTTCTGGCAAGACTCTGGGGACCCAGACTCCTACAGAGAAAAACTGAACTGTCTGGCATCGGGTAGGAAAGCGAGGGTGGCTTTCTCGCAGAGGTACTCGCAGGGATCATTGCTACTGTGTGGGAGTGTGGGACACAGAGACGGGGAGATGGCTGACTGGCAGCCATCGCTGTTCGCTCCACCCTGGTGATTCCCTGAGACCCCCACCCCACCCAATTTACAACCCCACCCAAGCTGTGCACAGCAGCTTATGCATATGAATGGCCTGTCCTTTTGCAGCTTAACCTAACAAACTGCAGCTGAGTCAGAGAGCTCCAAAACTTTCAAACCCCAAACAAAGAGGAGAAATCTGCAGCTCTCACTGTAGCTCCTGCTGGGTGGCCTCAGGCAGTGGCTGACTTTGCACCTCCTTGGAGAACCAGGAGCCAGTGTACCCAGTGGTCATATACCAGATTTCAACTCCTCACATCCATAAGTGACACACTCAAGAGGCAGACTCAGTGAGCACAAAAGCCCCACTGAAGAAAGTCCTGCCCCATAAGGGTGTCTCCAGCACAGAAGTTCTCCCATTGTACACACAACTGGTCCTCACAGCCAATTTACCTGGAGGTCAATTCCTCCCAATGATACCAACAGCAATCAAGGCTTAACTACAACGAGACTGGGCACAAAGCCCACAAAGGGGTACACTAAGAGTGTCCACCTCAGGTAATTGGGGAGGCTGAGCCACTGGGCCCTATAGGACACCTAGCATAGACAGCCAAGC